GCGTCGTCGTCGGCGTCGTCGTCGTCGTCGGCGTTGTCATCGTCGTCGTCGTCGGCGTCGTCGTCGTCGGTGTCGTCGACGCCGTCATTGTCGTCGTCGAAGTCGTTGGAGACGTCGTCGGTGTCGTGGCCAAGTGCCATGTGGTACCTACCGTCACGGTCTCGTCTTCAGAGGTCTTGCGACCAAGTTGCGGGTGGGAGGGTGGGATGTTTGCAAGAGAAGTGGAGAGGACAGCTTCAAGACGGTCAACATGGATTGCATTGCATAAGTTGCACCGCGTAGATTCTCCGTTCTAAAAAAAGAACAGACTCTACCTCCCCCCCGGAGTTAACGGCCCCACCTGGGGCCGTTCGATTTCATATGCATTCAGCGCACTCGCCCATCCTAAATATGAAATCATACTATCCCAGCCAGGCCGGTATCACTCCCCCACGCCATCTTCTGCAACAAATGCTATAAGCGCGCACTCGTTTATCAAAACTCTTAAGTTTTCAAACATCCCTTGCAACAAAAACGGGACGAAGTGCACGCGCGCGCCGTCGCGCGCATGCCAAATCCGTCAAACATTCATTGTTTCAGAAGGATTTCAAAATCGGGTTCCCAAACGCCATAGAAAAACACAAGGTTTCGCAATATTGAATTCCTAAATTACGCCTGCGACGTACCCAACCCTTGCGCAATGCGGGGCATAAGTACATCCAGATTGCTACAAAGGGGGCGATGACGTAACATGGACGCATGTCATTTTGCGAGCAGCAATCGGAAGGCTCGCAGGCCCCCGATCAAGATATAAGGGCGTCGTAATGGTTAGAACTGCAGCCCCCCCCAAGGACGGCGAGGTCTCGCTCAGGTCCCCGCGGTGCCTCAGTCCGCTGGACCCAACAGCAGCCCTCGAAAGCGGCGACAGCGTCGCAGATCGCAGGCGAGGTCTCGCTCGGGTCCCCGCGGTGCCTTACTCCGATGGACCCACCAGCAGCCCTCGAAAAAGGCGACAGTGTCGCAGGTCGCAGCCCCCCAGGGACGGCGAGGTATACCTCATATCCCCGCGGTGCCTCAGTCCGCACGACCCACCAGCAGCCCTCGAAAGTGGCGACAGCGTCGCAGATCGCAGCCCCCCAGGGACGGCGACGTACACCTCAGATCCCCGCGGTGCCTCACTCCGCTGGGCCCACCTGCAGCCCTCGAAAGTGGCGACGGTGTCGCAGATCGCAGTCCCCCAGGTTCGGCGAGGTCTCGCTCAGATCCCCGCGATGCCTCAGTCCGCTGGACCCGCCAGCAGCCCTCGAAAGTGGCGGCAGCATCGCAAATTGCAGCCCCCCAGGGACGGCGAGGTCTACCTCGGAACCCCGCGGTACCTCAGTCCGAAAAGGCGTCAGTGTCGCAGATCGCAGCCACCCAGGGACGGCGAGGTATACCTCAGATCCTCGCGGTGCCATACTCCGCTGGACCCACCAGCAGCCCTCGAAGGTGGCGGCAGTGTCGCAGATCGCAGCCCCCCAGAGACGCCGAGGTCTCGCTCAGATCCCCGCGGCGTCTCAGTCCGCAGGACCCACCGGCATCACCCGAAAGTGGCGACACCGTCGCAGATCGCAGCCCCCCAGGGACGGCGAGGTCTCGCTCAGATTCCCGCGGTGCCTCACTCAGCAGGACCAACCAGCAGCCCTCGAAAGTGGCGACAGCGTCGCAGATCGCAGCCCCCCAGGGACGGCGAGGTATACCTCAGATCCCCGCGGTGCCTCAGCTGGACCAGCAGCCCTCGAAAGTGGCGACAGCGTCGCAGATCGCAGCCCCCCAGGGACGCGGAGGTCTCGCTCAGATCCCCGCGGCGCCTCAGTCCGCAGGACCCACCAGCATCACTCGAAAGTGGCGACACCGTCGCAGACCGCAGCCCCCCAGGGACGGCGAGGTCTCGCTCATGACTCATATCCCCGCGGCGCCTCAGTCCGCACGACCCACCAGCAGCCCTTGAAAGTGGCGACAGCGTCGCAGATCGCAGCCCCTAGGGACGGCGACGTACACCTCAGATCCCCGCCGCGGTGCCTCAGTCCGCACGACCCACCAGCAGCCCTCGAAAGTGGCGACAATGTCACAGATCGCAGCCCCCCAGGGACGGCGAGGTCTACCTCGGATCCCCTCAGATCCCCGCGGTGCCTCGCTCCGCTGGACCCACCAACAGCCCTCGAAAGCGGCGACAGCGTCGCAGATCGCAGCCTCCCAGGGACGGCGAGGTATACCTCAGATCCCCGCGGAGCGTCACTCCGCTGGGCCCACCAGCAGCCCTCGAAAAAGGCGACAGTGTCGCAGATCGCAGCCCCCCAGAGACGGCGAGGTATACCTCAGATCCCCGCCGCGGCGCTTCACTCCGCTGGACCCACCAGCAGCCCTCGAAAGTGTCGACAGCGTCGCAGATCGCAGCCCCCCAGGGATGGCGAGGTCCGCACAAAGCAAGAGGAGACAAGAGGGGAGCGGGAGACGGGAGGCGGGAGGAGGAGGAGGACTGGAGACCGCAGTGCTCTATTCAAAACGACTACCCAACCAAGGGGGGTCGGGAAGAATTTTACGCGCGCGCTCTTGCGAAATCTTAAGAACACATTGTTTTTCAAGATTTCAAAAAAATGCTACCAAACGGGCTTCAAGCGCGCATGTCGAATTGTTTCGAATGCCCTCGCGCACGTGCCCTCGCGAAGTCCTGATCAAAAAAAGGGCGGAGTGCACGCGCGCGCGTCGTCGCGCGCGCATGCCGAAGCCCTCCAAAAACCGCAGTTTTCGGAAGGAGTTCAAAATCGAGTTTCCAAACAACATGCAAACACACAGGGTGCCGCAACACGGATTTTCAACAAAAGCGTGCGCGCGCGCTCTTGTGTCGTCGTCGTCGTCGCCGTCCTCTGTCTTTCCTCGTCGTCGTCGTCCTTTTTGGCGTCGTCGTCGTTCCCGTCGTCGCTGCCGCCGTGGTCATCCTTCCTCCTCCCTCGTCGTTGTCGTCGTCGTCCGTCGTCGGCGTCTCGTCGTCGTCCCTCCTATTTCGTCGCCGTCGTCGTCGTCGTCGTCGTCGTCGTCGTCGTCTTCCGTCCTCCCTCGTCGTTGTCGTCGTCGGCGTCGCCGTCCTCCCTCCTTCTTCGTCGTTCGCGTCGTCGCCGTCCTCACTCCTCCCTCGTCGTTGTCGTCGTTGTCGCCGTCGTCGTCCTCCCTCCTCCCTCGTCGTCGTCGTCTTCGTTGGCGACGTCGTCGTCGTCTTCGTCGTCGTCGTCGTCGTCATCGTCGTCGTCGGCGTCGTCGTAGTCGTCGGCGTCGTCGTCGTCGGCGATGTCGTCGTCGTCGTCGTCGTCGTCGGCGTCGTCGTCGTCGGTGTCGTCGTCGTCGTCGGTATCGTCGTCGTCGAAGTCGTTGGAGACGTCGTCGCCGTCGTCGTAGTCATTGTCGGCGGCGTCGTCGTCGTCGTCGGTGTCGCTGTAGTCGTCGGCATCGGTGTCATTGCCCAGTGCCATTTGGTACTTACCGTCACGATCTTAAGAGGTCTTGCGACCAAGATGCGGATGGGACGTTTGCACGAGCAGTGGAGAGGACAGCTTCAAGACAGTCAAAGTGAACAGCACCACATAGATTGCACCGCCTATATTGCATTACGTCGGTTGCATCGCATACATTGCACCAAATAGCTTGGACCGCATAGACTGCAAGAGCCAACTGTTTGGGGTCCACGCTGGCTAACATTAGCGTTTTTAGCTCAGTTGTTTTAGCGTTTTCAGGCCCATCTGTGTGGACCATCAATTTGTTAGCCTCTTTTGCTTTCTGGTCGAAGGCTGTTTCTTGTCTTCCCTGCTGTCTTCACTCAAACTGTTCGGTTCTGCCGCTTCTGCCTCGCACAACTAAAACGCATTAGCAAAAACGCTCTAACACCGGTCCAGGCCCGAAACAGGCGGGGAGGCCCGATGGCCCCAAGAGGGGCAATGGGACATCGGGCCAGGAGGCCCTACGCCCCTATGCTTAAAACAACGTGGCTGAAAACACAAAATAATGAATCGTTGCTTTGGCGCTTTTAGTTTTCTTGTTGGGACCTGAAAGCCAACAAAAAAATAATCACAAAAAACAATGATTTGAACCACGGCGCATGAAAATCTGTAACAAAAACGCCCTGGGCACATTCAAGAACAACCAAATCCTTGAGGCTAGTTTGGACTGACCCTTCTCCTTTCGGGGCGGGCTCAAGGGGGAATAGCAAAAGGGCGGAGGCCGGCCCTGCGGCGCCGGAGACGGCCCTGTGTCGAGGAAAGCGCACGGCGGCGGGGCCGAAACTAGCTGCATGCAAGACTTTTCGAGCCACCCCTTTTCCAATCCCCCTCCATTGCCGGGTGCGACACATGTCGAAAGAATGAAGAGAAGAAGATGAAGAAAAGAAGAAAACGAATGGACAATAATGAGAAAAAGACGGGAACCCTGACATCTGGGAGACTTCATTGAACCGGCCATGCTATCCACCCCTACGAGTAGGCCCTCGCCCTCACTCCCCTCTTGGACGCCCCCGGCTGTCCTGGACACCGTCCGATTGTTGTCTCAATTCGCGACCCCAGGTCTCCCGACCCCCCCTCCACGGGTGCAGATTTTCGTCCGAGGTCCATTGGCGACGGCCCCAGGGCCCGATGATGGGCAACACAGCAGAGAGCGAGGAAAAACGACGGGGCTGGAAAACCACATCGTCGGGCAGGTTCGTGTCGTGTCGTGACGACCTTCGCTTTGGTTTATGACAGCGCGTGGATCGTTCATTCATCAACGATCGGCGGTCTTACGATCGCACAGGATGGCTCCATAATCTGCCGATTGTGATTCTGAGCCACTGGCGGCGTTCAGCCTTGAACACCCGCGCTGGAGTCACCACGGCGTCGGCACGACGCGAGCCTGCCGTGTGTAGGTTCACATGGCCCGATCCTCTGCCCTCCTGCGAGACCGCCGAAGGGAGGCGCGGCATGGGTGCGCGAGGGGGGGGGTGGGGGGCCCAGGCGGTCCTCGGCGCTGTTCAGCTTCTCCTCGAAAGAGGTCCACGTGGGCCCGAACGCCTGCAGGGTCAGGGGAGGGACCGACGATCGACGTGGGTCGTCGATCGACGGGCTTCCCCCTGCTCCCTCCTCCATCGTCCATCCCGCCTTCCTCCTCCCTCCTGCCTGCCTCCTCCCTGCTGCCTCCTTCTTCCTCCCTGACACTGACGCTGACGCGAATCACCTGCACCGAAGAAATGGACACTGTTTCAAGGACCCGCAGCCCAGAGTTCCGGGCGCTCCTGGGGCGTCTCGCGCGTTCTCGCAAGGCTTTTCGGGAGCCAAGAGGGCCCCGAAACGGACCGAGAGGGTCCAAGGAGGTCCCCAAGACGGGCCAGGGAGACCCCAGTCGCCAAAAGGTCACTCACAGACCCTCGAGATAGCGTCAGGAAGGTCCATGAAGCCCCCAAGGCGCCCCCACGGCCCAAATCCGTTATGTCCCGTAGCTTTGAAACATATCTGAGCGTTCTTGTCGCTCCAGGAATGAAAGAGGGAGATGGGGAGGGGACAAGGGGTCCAGGGGAGAGATGCAGGGAGGGAAAGGGGGAAGGAACGGGGAGGCGAAGAGGGGGAGGAGAGGGGGAGATGGAGGGAGGACGGAGAAAAAGGGAGGGAAGCGGAGGCGGGAGCGGGAGCAGGAAGCTGTGGCGGGGCGGGTGAAGTTTGGTTCTCCGTCCCCGCTCGGAGCGCACGTGCTACCAGAAGGAGCGGTGCACAGGGCACGAAAATGATCTTCTGGCCGCGGCCGGCCTCGGCCACGAATACGATCGACGACCTGTGTCGAAGGAGACGCCCGCAAGCCCGAGCCCTCCTGAACCCGGAATGGTTCGTAGTTCAGCGCCTTGGCTGCGCTACTGGAACGCATCTCGACCAGCGCCCCTTCCCCTGCTGCTCTCCCGAGGTGGCGCCGCGGGGGAGCGAGGCGGGAGCGCGGGCCCTGCAGTGGGGGCACCAATCCGCGTAGAAGTTCACGAACGTGTAGTCGTGCGCATCGATCACCTGGCCGGGGGAGAGGATTGTCGGCGCGCGGGCAAGGGGGCGGCCCGAGGGAGGCGGCATCCTGAGAAGGCTGACCCCCTCGCGCCATCCCCTTGTGCGCGACGCCACGATGAACGCAGTGAACGTCAGCGGTGCAGTCACAACGTAGCACAAGAACGCAGGTCAAGAGCACGCGCCTTTTCGCCGCGGGCCCTAAGCCCCACATATAGACCCTGGACGAAGAGCGTTCCAAGGTGGAGAGCCCACGCACGAATACTATGAGGGTAACACCCATCCGAACTCGGGGCTGTTTTCAACCCTCGTACCAGCTGTGATGATGCAGTATGATGAGGATGCAGGGCACCTAGAAAGCGCCTTGGGCGGAGGAAACAGAAAGCGTGACAACCATGCCCCCCAGATCCTCAGGATGTGGGCCCCTTGTTTCAGACCAGGGGCGGACAGGTGCCCCTGGCGCCCGACTGAGGCGCCCTGGGATGTCCAGGGAGGTCCTCGGCAGCCTACAGAGCTCGAGACGATTGAAATGATCATATCGTTGAAGGTTTGGGAGCACCCTCGGCAAATCCTGCTCAAAAACTGACTGTCGGCGACCAATTCTTTCGAGCCGTCTTGCCACATGGGGCATTGCAGAGGCCCCAGCATGTGCGCGACGGGCTCCCGCCAGAGCGGCCATACGCGTCGTCGCCGCCGTCGTCGCAGTCGTCGTCGTCGCCGCCGCTGCCACCGCCGCCGATGACGTCTTACGTCTTCGTGTCCTAGGTCCCGGCGGCGTTTCTGGAGGTTTTCGTAGCTGCGACCCGGCGCGGCTCGGAAACGAACAAAAATGCAACGGAACCCGATATGAACACGGAGACCCGCGGTGGGTGGACCCGTCACCGTCATCGTCGCCGCCAGCTGCAGTGGCAGCGCCGGCGCCGACCCAAATCGGTCTCCATACCCCCTCCGGGCCCGTCCTGGCCACTTGCTTGAGGATTGCGCCAGGGGAAACGAGAGAAGCCCCCGAAGACGCCCCCAGGAAGCTCCTCCGAAGAGCGAAAGCGCCGTGCCGCCGTGGGCGTCAGCATGCGGAGGGCGCGGCGGAAGGCGCCGGGCGAGCGGGCAACGGGGGGGCCCGCCGACTGAAAGTCGTCGTGGTGGAACTGGTCGCTGGAGCTGCTCCTGCGCGTCGGCGCTAGGTGGCCGCTCGGCCCGCGGAATGGGTGCCGCCTGCGCTGTTGTCTCTTGTTGCCCCCGGCGGCGGCGGTGCTGTGTCGTCTAAATCAACACACGCAGGAACTCCGGTAATGCGCCTTTCAAACCAAATCCATCCTCGGAGGCCGTTGTTCTAGCCACAAACGATGTTTGCACGTAATTAGGGGCTTCTACTTCGCTGGGTGAAATAATTGATTGGGTAGTTCGGGCTTCGCCAATTGAGGTAGAGAGTTAAGAGAGGGGAACATTGAGAAATAGTTTCGCCGGCCCCGCGGCCCTCATAAAAGCGGGCCAAGAGGCTCGGCCCACAGATGGCTGATAATTCGGGTTGGCCCCCCTGGCCGTCTGGGAGAACACGGGGGAGCCTGAGGGCTGACAACTCGGAGCGGGGGGGGGGGTGCATGTCGGGCTGGTCGAAAGCACCCCCGCTCCCTTACGCGGGCGTCTTGCAGTCCTGGGAGGATGAAGAGCGACGGGCGATGGTGACAACGAAAACGACGGCGGACTGTGGATGACGAAGGAGGGGGGCTGCGTGGGCGTCCTGCTGTCCTGGGGCGACGACGGACGACGACGACGAAATCGGACTGCGAATGGCAGAGGGGAGGCAGAGTGCTGCGTCAGCGTCCTGCAAGCCCGAAGGACGAGACGAAGACGACGACGACGACGGCGACGACGGCCCGTTGCAGATGGTGCTGCGAAGGCGTCTTGCGCTCCCAGGGGACAACGGTGACTGCCCACGGCGCCGGCGGGCGACGAACGGCGACGACGACGACGGCCTTTTTGCAGTTGTGAAGGCCTTGCAGCCGGTGCCACCGACCCAGAAGGACGACGACGACGATGACGACGACGACGACCTGATAACCCTGCCACAATCTCGGGGCATAGAGCGGGCGGTGTAAGGGGGGAGGGGAGGGCATAGATTTAAGTGCCCCATCCTTTAGGGCCCCATCTCCGAACCGCCTCCTCCGCCTCCTCCTCCTCCTCCTCCTCCTCTTCTTTCTAGCCGCCGCGAGGGGCTCAGGAAGTGCGCTCGGCCGCGACCAGCGCACTCACTTCCCCTGACGGCGCGCCCCTCTTCTCGCAGAGGCCAGGTGGGGGAGGGGCGGAGCGGATCATCACACCTAATACATTCGGGCGGCCAATGCCATGCGTATCATCTCACACAATCCTCTCTCTGCCAGTTCGGTCGAGCGTCTCTCGGACATCAGCACAAAAACTACGGACGTGGGATGTCGTACTTGTGTGTGGCACGGGTGAGATGACGAGCGCAGAGACATCTAGGTGTGTGACGCTCCCTAGCCATTGGTGTATTCGAATGGGTGCGCGCAAAGGACGGTTTGTCACGAAAGCCTGCGGCATTGCAATCCTGGTGCACAAAAAATACCCGACCCACTGCTTGAGAGAGATCTACCACCCCCCTGGACTTCTGCAGGGACGAGTAGGAGGAATTAAACTTGCGCTGTCCTCCTGCGAAGTGGCTCTCTTCTCGACATATTATGCACCTACGCATGTCAAGAACTATGGGGAGGTGGGGAGGCGTATTAGTGAGTGGTTGGAGGGAACGACGGACAGGCTAGGAGCACGTACGCTGACGGTCATTGGGGGGATATCAATACCGACTTTGGGCTTCACCGTGCCAGCCACGGGACTGTCCAAAAAACGGTTTCGAGTTGCCTGGGGCCTCACGCGTCAGCGTTCGAGAATGACAACGGACAGCACTTTCTTCAGTTCTGCCAAACCAGCGATTTCATAGTGGCTACCACAACCCACGACCCTGGCCCTACCCTTCTTTGGCCCCAAGGGAGGAACAAGCCGAATCGACCACTTCGCTATCCCGCAGGGCGCAGCTCACCTGGCCCAGAAATGCATAGCACTCCACACGTCTGGGAAGCGGCTGCAGCTTATCCAAGCTAAAGGCTCGCGGGACCATGTGCCAATTGGGTTGGTCATCGACGAGCGGATCAGACATGCCCCGACCAGTCGACTGAAGCCAGAGGACCGACTCGACAGGGACCAGCTCGTGTCTTGTTTGAGGAGAAGATGTAAAAGGCAGGAGGTGCTGGATAGGATCGAGGAGGAGCTGAGCAAGATAGAGGAGGAGGAGTGGAGGGAGCTGCTAGACGGACCGACCCCAGATCGAGCGTGGCAACGGTACAGGGAGGCAGTCAGGACTGCAGTACAGCAGATCTTCGGTGCCCAACGCCAGAGGGAGAATGTGTGTTACGGTGCTATGCAGACACAACGGATGGAACTGTTGGCACAGAGACGCACTATCAGACAGCGCTTGGGCCCTGGGATCTCCGACGAGCAGCTCGAGCAAGCGAAAGCGCAGCTAAAAGATGTCACAAGTGTGCTAAAGCAGATCAGAGAGAGCTATGAGACCCAGCGAAAAGCCCGACTGGTCGAGGAGATGTGGGAAGCATCAGAGCAGGGGGATTTCGCCGAGATGCACCGACTTAGGATCCAGTACCAGGCGAACGGTCGCGGGCCCAAGCACAGATTCTTCTTTGCCCCTCGCACGCACTGGTCTGCCGAGCAGTGGGCGAACGAGCTGGCGAAGAGCCCGCACGAAGGAGGCCTCAGCGCGCAGGTCATAGATTTGGACCAGCAGCTGCTAGAGAGGGAAGCACACTACTCCCAACAATTGCCACTCCCAGTAGACAGTGACCTCCGTTGCCGAGCTGCTGAGGACCATGCTGCTATGCTACGCTATTGCAAAAAGGCCAAAAAGAGAAGGGCATGGCCTGCATGGGGCCTCCCTGTGGAAATCACGCTCCTCTTACTAGACCCTCGAATCAACCTAGGTGATCCGACAGTGTCAGGGACGCAGGCACGAGCGACGAGGGAGGAGGAGGATACGCAGCATACCATCGAGCGACTGTTGCAGAAGGGGAGGGCACTACTGGAGAGGTTGGGATGGACAGGAGGAGGCTTGGGGAGGGGAGGAGGTGTACCGACGGAGCCCGCCAACTTAGTCAATAACTACACAGTGGGAAGGGGACCCAGAGCTGGACTTGGAGTTATACAGTGGGGACAAGGCAACCACACGACGGCGAGGAGACTCATGGATGTGCTGATTATGTGTCGAAGTACCCAGACCACCCCCCTTGCGTGGCATAGGTCCAAGGCGTTCGGAGCAGATAAGAACAACGGACGACAGGGGGTATTAGGAAAGCGCATCATGCACGCGTACTGCAGTGTAGGCATGTCGTGGCACGCGGGCATACACAGACGTGGCACGCCATTTCAGCATGCAACGTGGGCGCAGGGCGGGCTACCGCACCGGTGTCGGGAGAACGCTCTTGCCACGCTGATGACGATGAAATGGAAGGCTGAGCAACTAGGATACAGCTCTGTGTACACCAGCTATGATTGCTCTAACGCGTTTGCCTCTACGGATAAGCGCCTCCTGCATGCATTTGCCTTCAAACAAGCTGATGAATGGGACCGAGTGCACTCTGTGGGGGCCATCGACATGACAGCTGTGACGATAGAAACACCCACGGAAGCCGTCACAATGGAAACCCTCTCGGGAGCCCAGATGGGCTTCACGTTGGCACCGAGGCAATTCAATGACAGCTACAACCTATACGTGCAACAATGTAACGACGGCGTGCGAAGCGACCCTACGCAAAAGCTACACGACACCCAGCACCCCATTACTCACCAAGTGCACGACCTCAGCCTCAACACATTCATGGACGATATCACAAAGACTCACATCCTCCCAGCTGGAGCGTCAGCGACCCACGTCACTGCCCACCTGAAGCAGGCCACGCAAGAGCTCGAGACAACACTTGCCAAGGGCAACTGGAAGCTCAACCCCACCAAAACCAACCACCTTCCCTGCCTCCGAGGCCAGGGGGGCTACAGCTGCACCCGCAAGTTGCGCCGTTCAAAGGAGCTGAAGGGCATTTCCCTTAGGGAAATGAGGGTGCTGGGACCGTTTATCCCGTCAGATCAAGGCATCACGGGGGAGATCAAGAAACGGTGCGACGCGATCCGCCTAGCCTGGAGGCAAGGCGGCACCTTCTGGAGCTCCAAGAACAGCTTCGCAGTCAAGCGAATGATGTTCATTGCGTTTGTGTTCGGAGCTGGCCTCAGCGGATTAACGGCGATGGTACTCAGCCCATGTCACACTGCTACTCTAGATGCGGTGATTGGCAAATACTTGCGCACGCTCGCTCGGGGCAAGATGTCGTGGGCACAAGCGGACGGCACAGTACGATGTTACAGCACAGCCCGCGTGTTCAGGGAATGGAGGCTAGAGAGGACAGAAGACGCTCTACGGGCACGGCGACTGAAATGGTATCAACAGTGGGCGAAGTACCCAGAAGCTCACGGCAACCTGGTTGCAACTATCTTTGGCCTCAGTGTGATGGAGCGGTTGAAGGGTGTTACACGATTGTTGCCAGGGGGCTGGGTGGGAACTTACTCTACACCTATGGCACAACAGTATCGGCGCGACCTAGATTTGCTAGCAGAGATGGACGAAAACATGCAAGCATGGTACGAGCACCGTACGTCAGATCTGGCCATACTTACACCAGGAACCGAGGAGTGGCGGCAGTGGCTATGTGTCGACACGATCATATTGCGCAGTACAGCGCAGAGGGGAGGAGGCAGAGAAGAGGGAGAGGACGAGACGGTGGAGGAGCAGGAGGAGGCCCTTGCACGTCCCTTATGGTGCGACCACCCGTGTGTCGACGACGGAGGAAGGGAGACAGTATGCGGGAGGAGGTTTAGGACAGCACAGGCACTACAGGCACGCAAGAGAGGAGTGCACAACCTTCGCACGCTGCTCACAGTGCTTGTTACCACTAATCAGTGCCCCTGGTGTCTCAGTGTATTCCTCAATCGCAAGACGGCGATAGATCATTGTCACAGGGCTGTAGAACGGCACGGCACGTGCTAGGTCGACCGCAGCAAATGGGCCCACGAACTATTGGAACCAGCCTCATTGGAGTGCGGCCTATGTGGATACGAGGCCCAAGACTTACTCTCTTTTCAGTGCCACGTTCGATCACATCACGAAGGCCCCCACTCGGTCAAAGAGCGTACTTGCCATGGCGGCGATGGCGCCGAGAGCGGACTGGCAGCTGGCTGGCAAGCGAGGCGCAAGCAGCGACCTGGCAGGGGAACGACGCTCGTCGCCGGCAGCTTCGGCAGCAGCAAGCGGCGGTGGAGGGGGACAACAGCCACAACGAGGACGCGGCGGCGACCACGACCACTACGACGACCGCCTGAACGTGACGATGAAACTCGCCCTGCGAAACGCGCAAGACTGGAGGGAGGCGATGCACGTGCTGTCCGACTTCTGGCTCATCCCAGCCCAGGCCAGGGCCTTCCAAGCGGGCCTGCAGGCAGCCAAGAAGTACGCCACGGAGGTCCGCTCCCGAGGGAAGAAGCATGGCTTGGGACCCCCGCACGTGCACGTGGCCATCGAGGTGATGCGCGAGCTGCACGAGTCCATGGACGGGGCCAACGGCAGTATCATGGAGAAGGAGAGCAAAGCCATCCTGCTAGAGTTCATCAACTCGACGGCTGACGCCTACGGCCAGGCCATGACCGAGGAAATCTTCAAGAGCTTCAAGGTCAACGAGACCTACAAGAGGGAGGACGAGGACGAGGGGGGCAGGTATGGCAAGCTCCAGTACAGCCTGAACCCGACTCCAGTGCTGGGCGCCATCCTACAGGGGAAGGAGATCGGGGAGACCGAGCTCGCATGGGTGAGGAACTTTTAAGTGTTCAAGCTCAAGGAGGCGATGACGGTCAGCCTGCTGGGCCTCAACGCGACCAAGGGGAAGGCCTCTGCCCCCAAGAGCGCCTTGGAGAGAGCAGTCGGATCGTCCTTGCGCCGCAGGCAATAACGACGGCACCAGCATCCCGACACAACCTGCCGACACAAGGCGATGTTGCTGGGCGGCCAGGTCGAGAGGCGCCCACGACGGTGGATGGTAGGGGGGCGTGCGGCTCCCTACCTTCCGTCCATCAGCCTTGGCCGAAGGGCTGGGCTGGGCCGACGGCACCAGCATCCCGACACAACCTGCCGACACAAGGCGATGTTGCTGGGCGGCCAGGTCGAGAGGCGCCCACGACGGTAGCCAGCGGTCCGTTGTTGCCTTTGCCTCCTCTCTCGTCGTCCCTTGCACGCTGGCCACCAGAGAGCGAGATGGAAAAGCTTGCTCATGCGATCAGTCTCGACCCGAAGAAACTCCAGAAACTTAGGGAACAGAGAAAAATCAGTAGCAAATTCGAAGAGATGTACGCCCTTGCAGTGCAGTATCGCGAACGACGCAAGTACATTGTGGACCTCAGCCAGGGACTCGTACAAGGACCTCCTAGGACCCCAGGCCAAAGTTCAGGAGGACAAGGTACCAACCTACAGGCACCAGTACGAGGACCACAAGAGCACCCGACGGGGCCCAGGCAGCATAGCAGTGACATGTGACGCCCGACTCCGGCACAACAGTGTGATGACATTAAATTACCCTTGCAGCATCGACTTGCAGTCTCGGCTCAACGGCAGATATTCAATCGTCCTTCATCTTACCCTGCTCTTGCATACGACGGTGAGCCCAAGCCCGAGGGAACCGCACCCAGCCCACACAGAGCACCTCGACATTCGATATGCGTCATGACTGGCCGACAGTTGATGTGCAAAAGGTGCAGATAGGACGACCATGAGGTTCCGAGGGAAGTGAGACCACTGAGGCGACAGCACGCATCCAGGCGGTGCCGCAGCTATATAGTAATCCCACTGTAGCTGCGAGAGATCCCCTGCTTATCTTGCTGTCTCTGCCCCTCTCCCTCTAGTGATTGAAGCCGCGCCTGTCGGCACTCTCCGCCTCCTGAACGTCGTCAGGTGGATGGTAGGGGGGCGTGCGGCTCCCTACCTTCCGTCCATCAGCCTTGGCCGAAGGGCTGGGCTGGGAAGGAGGGTTCAGGTTCAGGTATTTCGAGCGCGGGCAGTTCGACCAGATGCGAACAGCCGCCCTCTTTTTTTTTCTTCTTTTGCTGCAAGGAGGAGCCGCCCCTTGGGAGGCCCCACGCCCAGGGAGGCCTGGGTGCTTCCCCACGCCGTTTTTGGGTTTGAACTGGCTGCTCTGCCCACTCCCCCTGCCGACATTGGGAACGGTGTTCGGGCCTCCCCATGACGGCGTGGAGGAGGGGGTCGTGGTGGCCAGCTCGAGCCCCTCTGCGAGGCCCGTGCCTCACCGCCGATGGCCACTCACCTTGCGTGCAACGGCTCGCTCGGTGAGTCGCCAGGCTGGCCCAGTCCCGAAGAGAGGGCCAGCTCCTACGTATCCGCAGGGTCTCACTAGCTCACAAGCGTAGAGGAGCTACGACCCCCGATCGCCTGCCTTGCCTTGCCTTGCCTCTTCTTTCTCGTCCCCCTCCTCCTCCTCCTCCTCCTTGTCCTTGTCCTTGTCCTCCTCCTCCTCCTTCTTCCCCTCCTGCCACGAGGGGAGCCACCATCGCATAGAGGCGCGGGAATTTCTGCTGTGGGCCACTGCCCGATCGCACAAAAGCTGAAGGCAACTCCCTCGAGCCACCTGACCACGGGAAGAGAGGGGGCTGCACAAACACCTTCCTGATAAACAGCGACCATAACGTTTATGACCTGGCGCCGTATCGAATTATTCTCCAACCTCGAACTTGGCCTTTCTTGCGCTCTTCCTGCGAAAGCATGGGGAGGTGAGGAGTGCTCCAGTCGGAGTCCAGCTCTCGCTGCTCCTCCGTGGAGAAGCTGGCGTCCGCGAACTCCAGCGCCACCTGGCGAAGGGGTGGGGTCCAGGTCGATGTCTCGGCGCCATCGCTCTGGCATGCAGGGGACTCGGGTCGGACGAAAAGGGAGGTCACCCAAAGCGGGGCTAGCCAATCAGCTCTAATTGATTTTCTGGGCCTCCTGGAGCTGGAGGCTCCAATCTATTGAGGAAAACGCCCAGCGGAGGTGCCGAAACCAACTGCACGCAGAAATTGTCGTACCCCCCTTCCCAATCCCCCCTTTCTGCCCGACCCGAAAAACTTGTCCTGGAGGAAAAGGTTCGTGGATTTGTTTCGCCGTCCACAGATCCCGGGACTGACCACAAAACGACTCAGGTTGAGGAACTGGCCCTTGGGAGAACTATGGGGCCTTATCCCAAGGACCCGTTTCCCTCGGGACCCTTTTCCTTCATGGCGACCTCGTTGATGACCCCACCCTGGCCAACGCCAGGGGGGTGAAACAGAGCACTTAGGTAAGAACATTAGGCCCAGCGGACTAAGACAGGAATGACATATATGTGTCCGCCATCGGCGACGCATGTTCCAGGTCGTCTGAGCCATGTATACCCGTACGGCCACACGGTGGCACGACGGGTTACAAACGTTCCAAACGCCCTGAGACAGGTGTCACCGACGGCGGAAACGTTTACTTCATACTCTTGCTCGTCAGCTAACGAGCGAATGAGGGGAGGTGAAGGACATCACGGCGGAGACGACGGGAAGACATCTGGCAGAAGGGCACGATCAATCAACATCGAATCGGAAAATCCGACCAAAGCGGAATGCGCGTCGGATCGTGTCACATCGGCACGGAATCGACATCGAATCGGATCGGCTGCGCTGGACTGCACAACAACGCCATACGAGAATACCGGGCTGCATCGGACCGTCCGAACATCGGAACCGAGTCAGATCAGAGCGGCCAGAATCGATATCGGTTCGGATCGGTCGGGCCAAAATGCACCCTGAAGAGAGGAGAGCGGCTGCACCTGCTGGTCGCGTGTACCTGCTGCTGCTGCTGCTGCTTCTCCCTCCCCCTCTGTGCCCGCAGATGGAGACTCGGAAGCAGACAGGCAGGCTCGTAACCCCGAGGGGAAGATGAGGAGGTTTAGTAGGAGGAGGAGAGAAGAGGAGGACGAGGAGGAAGAGGAGGAGCCCTTCGCCGACTAGGGAATTCATCGGACTCCATGCATCAATGTCAAAACTCAACCCTTTCGGGGAGCGCCTGCAGCCGACGGCGAAAGCGCCCACGCACTCGAGCCCCAAGTGCCTCGGCCTCCTCACGGATGGCCAAAGCCTACGAGAGCAATACCCCTCACCCTCACCAAGTCCACCCCCCTCCCTCCACGAACGGTCAGAGAGGACTCACACTAACTAGCAGCAACCAGTGCTAGAGACTGCAACAGTTCCAACTTCAGCGCCACAACTCTACGCGCCGACTCGGAGAGGACTCCAATTTCCAAAAGCATCCACAGCCAGCGGGAACCCGAAAACGCAGAAACAAACTCAAGGCCCGTTTCCCTCAGGACTCGTTTCCGCCATCTTCGCCAACAATCATCAAGCGGGGCGGGTTCGCGCCAGCTCGTCCTCCGTGTAGGGGTGGCCCTTCGACGCCCTCGCACGCGCGGGGGGGCGGGCGGGCAGGGGGGGGGAACGCGGGCGTCCAAGCAAGAAAGGGGCGCTTTGGGGGGAACGGTCGGGGAGGCAGGCTGGTGCCGTGACGACGTGCGCCCAGGTTTCTGACACCGCGCGGGACGTTCAACCTTGAGCGATCGGAGTTCTCCCATAGCACCGATCGTTCGACACAACCAATCTCGGCCACTGGCAGCGTTCAATCTTGAATGCCCGCGCTGGGGTCACCGCCGAGTCGGCACGACACGAACCTGCAATAAAGGAGAGCCACTCTACCCACTGGAAAACAACACATGTATGCATCCAGTATGATTCGTTCCCAAACAAGCCAATGGGGTGACGCCCCCACCTACGAACCCCGAACATAAGGGTCTTAACTAGGGGACAGCAAAGGCGCACACACACACACACACATGAGCTTCGGAGGTCCACACGGATGCCTTGGATCGTTGCTGGAGCCCCTTGACGGCGCATCTGGCGCAGCCCCTGGCGCGCTCCGCGCGCGTGGGAGCCAAGTCCAGCGCTGACCCAAGAAATCCGAACGGAACGTTGACAGTTGATGTGTACGCAGTTTGTTTCTTGAAGAAGAACAAGATGCGCCAAGGTCCTCTGTCAGTCTCGTGAGTGGCCGTGCACAACAGCGTGCGACTCTGGCGGTCGTGGCCACGCAACGTGTCGCGGCAGGTGATGCCCTTGTACGGGCTGGATGGGGGGCACAAAGGGCGCCGATTCTCCTGGTTTTGGCCCGCTAGCCCCTCGCGGCTGCTGGACGCCGCGCCTGACGGGGGGGCCAGATGATGTGATGCTGCCCCCGCTCCGTCGAAGGAGACAGCCCACATGCCCATCCAGGGGGGGTAAAGCGGCTATTTGGGCCCAGGCCACGCCAGCGGGAGCCCGGGATCGGTTCTCGGCTCCCTCGTGGGAGCCCCGGCCTTCGCGGGCGGGGCGCGTGCGCAGGGCCGCCGCGCGTGCCCCTCGGGGTGCGCCGTGCGCTGCCCGTGGGGCGGCTGCCTGTCCCCCGGAGGCAAGATCGGTAACCGTTGAATCGGGAAACTGAACGGAATCGGGGCGTGCGTCGGCCGGACCGGTCCGCACCAACGGAATATGATCGGATCGGCCTCGCCAAGATGCACAACTATCCCGTGCAAACATCGGAAGGTATCGCATCGCCTGAAAATTGAAATCCGAAAGGATCGGCCCAGCCAGAATCAATATCGAATCGGATTCATCGGATCAAAACTGGTCCTTGCATGGCGACCCCAATCCCCGACTCAAAACAATTCTCGACGGCCCATCCATCCTGGGTCGGGGGCATACGTAAAACAGGCGTCCACCTTCGATGGCGACGCATCCGAATAGACTCCCGAGGGGTACACAATCATCGCGATACCACAAAGAGCGCCAAAAAGTGACGGCCCAAAAACCAAAAACTGCGCCTGAACCCACAATGGCCCTCGTTGGCTCAACGTATTGACTGCCTCCCCCGCATTTCCACTTTTATCTAAACGGCAATCTGGGGGCGAGACGTCGCGCCCGCATCCGGGCGTGCACTGTGCCACCCCTTACACCGCTGCCGAACACAAGCCCGACCAGGCATCCGGCCCCCGCGGCGCTGCGCTCGCAGAGGCCAGATCCGCCCGCGCCGCCGCCGATGCAGAAGGGTCGCCCGCTGGACCGTCCATCGCCTCGGCCCTGTTTCGTGTCGGGAACCATCGCGGACCATCGCCTCGACGCTGCCCCCTGCCCCACCCGCCTAGGCCCGAATGCATACCTCGAGCGGGCACCTGGCATATGGCGCCCGCGGAGTTGCGCCCGCAGTGGTCAAGCGCGCCATCTGCGCCCCCGACGAAAAAAAAAACGCCCGCTGGGCAAACCGTCGCAAGCAAGAGGGCACCGATGATCGATACTCCAAGACATGACGACGGTGAGAGCTGTTGGATGCGCGCCCCGAAACCTTTCGTCTTCCGACCCCGTGCCTGGGTACCCAGACACATCTTGGAGATTTGTCTGCCGTGCTTTCCGAATGACATCCAGGTGCGGCACCGCTCTATCCAAGGGGTGCAAACTATATGGTGCAAGCTGCGCGGTGCAAATGGTGGTGGGCAGTCTACGTCGTGCAATATACGACGCGCGGTCTACGTGGCGCAATCTGCGCAGCGCAGACAATGTGGTGAAGACTGTGTGGCGCAAGGCATGCGGTGCAAGCTCTGTTGTGTACGATGTGCGGTGCAAATGACCAAGTCGACCTGGCCCACTGCTCGCGCGCGCAACTCGCCCTCCCACCCGCAACTAGTTTACAAAAACCATGCTGTCGCAATTGATGTGGCTGCTCGGTGCGAATTGGCGTATCTATGCGGCCGCGCCAACGCGCGCACGTTCGCGCGCAAAGCAGCCAGCTGGTCACGACGATGTTTTCTCGATGCTAGCAGAAATACTGAATTGTGTACATCGGGTCGGACAAAAAAACTGCTCGCCACAAAGAGCTTGACTCTCGAAGGCCACGCGGGGGCGCGTGATGACAGCATAATGCTACAGAACAGCGGTGCCTGTGGGCATGAACGAGTGAGGGTGCTCAGGATGCTAGCGTTCCACAATTTAGCGGCGAATTGGCGGTGGTCGGGTCAGGTAAACTCATCTGAGCCGTACACACGGCGCGCCAGGGGCGGGGGCGGAGGGCACGAGGGGGAACATATGAGGACATAGCCCTGACTGGCATGCCATCCAAAGTCAAGGATCCACCGAGAAACAACCCTTGGTTCAAGCATCATACGGTGGAACTGTTCGGCTACGCGGAACTGCGTGCCGACGTATTGATTGACTCCGTCGTGATCAACACCGCGAGACAGCTCGACACCATAGAAATGTTCGACTCCGTAGTGCGGAATATCGACTTGGTGCTCGAACCGTCGTGGTGGACGCCTTGGAACTGCTCGACTCCGTAGAACTGGTTGCTGACGGAAGGCTTCGTCGTAGTGGACGCCGTGGTACTGCTCGGCGCGTGGACTGACATCGGCATGCTCGACGCCGTCGTGAACCCCGTGTTCTTGTTCGGCTCCCCAGAACAGAAAGAGCGTGTTCTACCGCTGCTGGCGGAAAACCGGGGGGGGCCACTACAGGTTCGAACCCCTCCCCCCCCTCCGGAAAGCCGGGGAGGGTCACTACCGGCTCGAACCCCTCCCCCCCCCTCCAGTTCATCATGAAAAAGGGGGGGGGTCACTACCGGTTCGAACCCCCCCCTCCCCCCCCGTCGAACTCGAAAACCGGGGGGGTCACTACCGGCTCGAGCCCCCCCCCCCTCGAAAACCGAGGGAGGGTGCGGACAGTGGTGGGGACGGTGGTGGTGGGGACCGTGGCGAGGGGACAGCGGGACAGTGGTGGGGACAGTGGGACAGTGGTGGGGACGGATATGTGGTGGGGACAGTGGTGGGGACAATGGTGGGAACAGTGGGGACAGTGGGACATTGGTGGGGACGGTGGTGTTGGGGACACTGGTGTGGTGACAATGGGAATGTGGTGGAAACGGTAGGACAGGTGGAGGGTACAGTGGTGGTGGGGACTGTGGTGAAGGCGGTGGCGAGGACGGCGGTGGGACAATGGGACAGAGGTACAGTGGGGACAGTGGCGGGGACAGTGGGGACAGTGGTGGGAACAGTGGGACAGCTCAGTGGTTCGAGTCGGTAGTGACCCCCCCCCTTCCGGATTTCGAGAGGGGGGGGGTATCGAACCGGTAGTGACCCTTCCCGGTTTTCGAGTTTGAGGGGGGGGGGGGGTTAGGGGAGGGGGGAGGGTTTGCCGGGGGAAGGGGTGGGTGGGGGGGGGGTCCAGCAGGGAGGGGGGGGGGGATTTTCGGAGGGGGGGGGAACCCCGGGCTCCGGGGGAAAAGGGCGGCAATTTTCCATAGTAAAGCGGCGGTGGATCACGCTCTCTCCCAGAACAAAATGTTCCCTCCGTGGGACTGCTCGACTCCGTGGAACTTCTTACACAACTCCGTGGATCTGGGTGCCGATGTACCGATCGGCTCCATCGTAGTAGACATTGTCGTGCTGCTCGTCACTGTAGAACTGACTGGCTCCATCGTGGTAGACAGCGTGATGCTGCTCGAATCCGTAGAACTGGAGACAAATGTGGTACTCAACTCCATCGTGGTAGACTCCGCGGTACTGCTCGACTCCGTCGAACACGATACCGACCTGGCTGGCGACCCCGAAACGGTGGACACCGTGGTTCTGATCGTCTCCGGAAAACTGGTTACCGACGTAGTGCTCGACGCCGTCGGGGTAGACATCATGGTATTGCTCGACACCGTGGAACTGATGAATTCCGTGGTGCTGGATGCCAGAATGGTGCTCGGCTCCGTCGTAGTGGACGCCGAGGCTACTGCTAGCCCGCGTAGAACTGGATGCCGACGGGGTGCTCGACTCCGTCGTGGTGGACACCGTGGTCTAAGTGACCCCGATGCCCCTTCTGGCACGCGGCGGCGGTGAATTCAACTAATTAAACGCACGAGTACTTTAACGAATTCGACTAATTCAACTAACTCGGCGACTCCAACGATTTGAGCAGACGGCCAATTCAACAACGTTGTCTAATTCAACTGAGCTCCGACCAACTGTTCTGCTCCAGCGAAGCTAGGTTGAAACAGAATAGGTTTAGTTAGCTTAGTTACTTGGGCCGAACCAGTTGAATTTATTGAATTTTGCCAACAAGGTTGCTTGGTAAACGAGTTGCTCGATACATCACAAACAGCACGGGGGTCAAGCTCGCAGGGGCAACTACTACAACTAAAACAAAACGACGACTGCAACTAATTCAACGAATGTTGATCTAGTTGGGTGCGACTCTTAGACATCGTTGAAAAATTGTGGCCCGCATCTTAAAAACAATTGAATCAGTTGTTATTTGGATGCGAATCTGGAAATTAGTTAAAATAGTTGGGTGCGATTTCCGAAATTAGTTGAATTAGTAATGGCGCGCATGCGACAAACAGCATCGGGGCCACTCAGACCATGATACTACTAGGCTCCGTGAGCCTGGAGCCCGATGTGGTGCTCGACTCCGTCGCGGGGAACACCGTGGAACTGTCCGTCTCAGTGGATCTGGACACCACGCTGGTGCAGTAGATGTGGTTGTGGCCCTCTCCTGCACGCGGTCGTCTTAAACAGCGGCGCTGGTCAGCTCGTTGCCGAAAATCGAGGTGTGGTAGCTCATCACCTCCGCGACATCTGTGCAGTTGGTCGGATCGCCGTGGGCGCTAAATTTGCGCGGATCCGCTACTCACTGCGCTCGCTTGCGTCCTCCGCTGGACCACGCTCTACTCCTGAGGGCCGGGGGCTCCAGTCCTCCCTGCGCGTCGTTGCCATGCCATGTGCTCTCTGCCTTAGAGCCTGGGGACGGTTGGGGCGCATCCAGGAAACCGCTGCACCACAAAGGCCTGAGCTCTCGGCGGCGTTTGATTGCGACGATAACGATGATGATGTCCATTGTCGGTGATGGAGGTGATTGGCTGATCACGGCGGCAATGCTGGCGATTGACGATGGCGGTAACGGCGGTGATGTGGTGGCGCACATGAGGGTGATAATGGGAAGTGCGCGCGCAGGAACCCGAGAAATCTGGCAAAGCGTCTGCTGGAACGCGATTCGATGTTCACATGATTTGGAGCAGCTGAATGCTGAAACGCTTCGGAAAAACCATGCTGTTGGACAGATTTCGAAACGCGCACGTGCGGCGCGCACGTAGCCCGCACGGTATTAGGTGATACGAATTCACGCTCTGGGCACATGCTAGATAAACGCATATGCACCGCGTGGTAAGATGAGATGACTGGTTCTGTACGGGACTGTAGCAAGCGTATGGTTGTCTGACTTTAGAAGGTGCGCACGCGGGCAGAGCATCTGCAATCTTTTTGAAGATGAGAAATGTGTTCTTGACGGTTTAGTTTATGTGGGAATGCTTGTTGAACTAAGGTGTACGTTCTGACTCCGCAATGTCCGCGCGCGCGTGTGGATGTTGTGGCATGCGCCTGCAAGGGACCATTGCGGACTTGATATGCTGAGATACACGAGTGTGCACACATGGTGTGTCATATGACAGGGATGGAGGGGGGCATATACCCGCCTGGCTGGGATGGTCTGATTTCATATGGAAAACAAACGATGAGGCAGAATCGCCCGCCAGTTGAAGTGTCCCTGAGGGAAACGATGACCACCGGGCGGGGCGGTAGAGTCTACTGTGCTTTCGAATGGCTTTAGAATGGAACATCTACGTGGTGCAAGCTGTGTGGTGCAAGCTATGCGGTGCAACATATGGGATGCAATATGTGGTGCAAGCTATTTTGTGCGAGCTCCATATGCTATGTAATACAAACTATGCGGTGCAAGCTATGTTGCACAAGATACAAGATACGTGGTGTAGTCTATGTATGTGGTGTATGCTATGCGGTGCAAGCTGTGCGGTGCAGGCTTCGAGGTGTAGTATCGATGTGACGCAGTCAAGACGCCAGCCAGCGCACGATTCGCCCACGAGCGCCCATAAGGCGAAGACACTGAACTCCCTACCACAACACGAGATGTCCACGAGGCACCCACGGGCGAGAATCATACGAAACCCAGAACTTCCAGCCAAGACGAGGCGCCCACAAGGCGCCCACGGGCTCCGACCAGACGAAAACCACGGACTCCCAGCCAACACGAGGCACCCACGAGGCACCACGGGCGCCCACCAGACGACAACCCAGAACCCCCAGTTAAAACCCAAAACATCCTCAGCGACGAAGAACTCCTCAGTGCAAGTACTGCTCCTCGAAACTCGATCATCCTCCTTCTGCTCTCTCCCTCTCCTGAGGTCAAGCCTGGTCGGGTTTAATCGGGGATCGATTTCCGCGGCCCCCCGAATGCAACAAAGATCACAACCCTTGCTCCTCTCCATGGCAACGACGATAACGAAAACGACCGACATGGTCCTCCCCGCTCAGGGTCTCCGGAGGTCTCCAGAGGCCAAAAAAGAGCTGAAGACGCTCAAAGCCTCAACCCTCAAAATTCGACCCCGAACCTCATCCTCATCTTCCTGTCTTCCTGCTCCCGCGCTCCTCCTCTCCTGCATCATCCTGTTTTTTTGCTCCTATTATCTACTCTCCTTTCTCTCCAATTCGTCACCTCTCTCCTCCTCCTCCTCCTCGTCCTCCTCCTCCTCCTCCTCCTCCTCCTCCTCCTCTTCGTCCCATCCTCCTCCTCCTCCTAGTCCTCCCATCCTCCCATCCTCCCATCCTCCCATCCTCCCATCCTCCCATCCTCCCATACTGCCATCCTCCCATCCTCCCATCCCCCCATCCCCCCATCCCCCCATCCTCCCATCCTCCCATCCCCCCATCCTCCCATCCTCCTCCTCCTCCTCCTCCTCCTCCTCCTCCTCCTCCTCCTCCTCCTTTCCTTATCGCTCCCTCGGGCGGCAAGGGGCGCCCGTTGTGGTCGAGGTGTGTCTTCACGACGTTCCTCGCCGCGGTTGCGGCCGCGGCGGCCAGGTCGACGAGCGCGGGACCGAAAGGCCACGGGGGGAGGGAAGGAGGACGGAAAGGAGAGGAGGAGAGTCGGAGAGGGGGAGGATGGGGGAAGGGGCGACGCCCCTTTTCCTGAAGCACGGAGCGCGCCGAAGGCGGCGCCGAACGCGCGGGGGGTCCAACGTAGATCCCTGTAATCGAGAGAGCGCGCTTCACGGGAGCTTCCCTTGGTAACATTCGGCGGCGCTTTTGAACCGGCCCGCCCCCAACATTCGACGCCGTCAAACAGAACCAGGGGCGGCGCAGGGGGGACCCCCCCCCCTCCCCGGCGCCGGCACCCGGAGCGGGCCCCGGCGCGCCGGCGGCGGCGGCGGCGGCTGGCAGCGCCGACGACCACGCCCACACCCACACCCACGCCCACGCCCACGCCCACGCCCACGTCCAGGCCCAAGCCAACGCCCGCGCTCACGCCCACGCCCACGCTCACACGCACGCCCACGCCCACACCCACGCCCACGCCCACGTCGACGCCCAAGCTCACGCCCACGCCCACGCCGACGCCCAAACCCAAGCCAAGCCCACGCCCGCGTCCGCGCCCAAGCCCACTCCCGCGCCCACGCCCCGGCACAGGCCCAGGCCCACGCCGGCGCCGGCCCGGTGAAAGGGGGCGGTTCCGGAACCCCCTCCACCCACCCAAGCGCCTACAGAACGGGGTGTTTTCTGAAATCCGAGCATGCCGATGTGTCGCCTTCGCTCCTCCACAGAAGGAATAACACACGAGGGGAACGAATCCTGGACCCTGGGGCCATCTCCCAAGAAAATTGTATTTAAATGTTCGTCGTGCGTCGTTTTCTGACGGGGCACGTTATGGGGCCCTGGGAGGCCCAACGCGGCGACAAACCTCACGACCCGTTTCCCTCAAGACTCGTTTGCCCTCGCTATCCCCTCTCAATATTATGCTATCCCTTTTCCATGGACAACTCCTGCCTGACGCACCACTTGACGTGTATGTACAGCGGGCCCGGCATTTCGTCTGATACTTCCCCACCATCTATGATCCTGAAGCTTGACTTTCGCAGCATTTTCATGAATGGAGACCAGTTCCTGTGCAAACAAATGTGACTAACGCCTTAGCGCCGCGCACATTTGTTTCAAAATTTGCAACAATTTCGTTGATGGAAAGCGGGTCGTTTTGAAAATGTGGTTTTCTCCCCACCGCTGCGCACATTCGGCTCAAAACTTCGCAACAATTTTAAGCATGGAGGAAAAATGCCCTTTTTCAAATGTAGCTCTCGTGGGACATTTGTGACATGTTCAAGGATTCGTGTAATAGATTCCAAGCGGTGTCCTGTCAAGGTATGGGATCGTCAGGACGCAGCAGCAGTCACGTTGAATCGCGGTGTTGAAGTTCCAATCGTAATGTCATGGTGCAATTCTCGAACGGTTGTCTTCAAATTCCCGCGACGAAAATGAATTATTGAAAGGGACCTGTGAAGAGGGAGGTTGACAGGGGAGGTTCCGTTCTCCCCCTCCTCCCCCTCCGCTTATCTCCCCTCCTCGCGCTCCTCCTTTCCCCTCACGTACTCCGCAGACTTCCTCGCTTCCTCTTCCTTCTCCTCCCCCTGCGCGTCCTGGTGATGTTCATCCTCTCGGTGCCAAACCTGAAACGCCGACGCGCCGGCCGGAAGGCGCTCGCACAGGACACGAGCGCGCGCCCTTTTCTGCGACAGGATGGCGCCGCCATTGGCGTCGCCGCGGCCGTCGGTCGTCGTCGTCGGTCGTCAATCGTCTGTCGTCCGTCGTACTCCGTTGTCGTCGTCATCTTCGTCGTCGTCAATTGACTGTACGGGGGTGACTGAATGGGTACAGAAAGACACGAAGTACAAATAGGGGGGCCCGTGCTAAGAAGGGAATGCGTTCTCCTTCCCTTTACGGAGGCGTGGGCGCGTCCGTCACCACCGCGCCATGATAGCTCAAGGGCCGTTTTGAGCCGATATGGAGGCGCACAAGGGAGTACAGAGGGAGGCGCAGGAGGAGGATGGACTGAATGGGGCTCAACAGCCACCTTTCCTACCCTTCTCGCAGCCGAAACGCCGCCTCGCCCCAGAACATGAACCTCCTCTCTCAGTAGATACCGTTGCAATCCACGTACTACCAGAGCGCCAGTGACGTGCAGTTGGCGCAGCTCCACCAACACGCAGGACTTGAGAGCACCTCTAGGAGAGCTCCTTGAAGGGATTGTCCGGCCCAGGGCCCATGATGAGGTCTTCCGAATTCGCTGCGTCCGCAGCCTGCCCCACCTGACCTGTGAAACTCCGTGACTCGATTCCGCGTGGGTCGTACGGTTTGTCAGTGCGCTCCAGGAAACGATCTGACGCATATAACTCCTCGGTCCACAAGAGGGCCCATCTCCCGTCCTTGGGAACCAACTTGACGTCGGCAAGTCGGGAAGTCGGAGTCCTCGATCGCCTCATCTGAATACGCGCGTACACTCGGAAACGCTGTCGGGGTGGCCCTTTGCCGAGAGGTACGTCCTGACCGTGCGATCACCCTGCGCCATCCAATGACTTGCTCCAACGCCTGCAGCTTGTCCCAGATCTCCCTCGTCGTCGCCGCGTGGACCCAGAGCGCGTGGACGTAGGCGCTGCCTTCGGTCTGGGCGACGGTTGCGATCCACCTGCAGCTCGAAGATGCAAGAGCACGCGTTCATCTCGGGGCTGACGCCAGACGAGGCATGCACCATGTAGCGCGCGCAAGACGCACGGCGAGTTGTCCTGATGGCCAGCGCTGCAAGCGCCCAGCGAGGCAGATCTCTACATGGCGAAGCGACGAGATCTGACACCGGGCGAAGATCGAAAGGATCGTGGAGCTCGGTGTCCGCGCACACCTGGAAATACGCGTAGAGGGCCTCGCAGTCACCACTCTCGTCTCCAGCCTTCAGGTAGCCCTGCGCGATTTCGCACTCGAGCGCGTGGCGCGACTCAATCAGACGCACGGCGATGTCGAGGTGGCATGTGCGTCAACAACTGCAGGCAAACACGGAGTAGGCAGTCTCGGACACTGGTCACGCACTGCCATCATCTCCGACGCGGAGGGTGGAAAGTCGCGTTGGCGTTCGGATCCTGGGCGATCGGCTGAGCGCGGCTCCTTAATACCAGGTAGTAGATCACATCATCGATAGGCCAGCGTCCGTTCATTTCGAGTTCGGATGGCTCGTCCTTCGTGGCCTCCGCCTGCTTCGCCATGCCCTGGCTCATCTGCGGGATCCTCTCCTTCTCCGCCTTCGCGATGTAGTCCAGCGGCTGCTTGCTTGGTGGTAGAAGATCTGGCAGCGCGATGAGGTCGTCCACGCTGGCCCAAGCATGATGGTGATCTCCGGAAGGGGTTCCCAAATCCTGGTCGCCCTGAGATACCGCCTCGCTACGAGATCGACACTGCGGCCCCTTCACCTCGGGTTGTACCAAGTAGACGAACCTGCGGTTCTGCGAGGTGGGATCGTTGTCTTGTCGTTAGGAATCCCAGCCATGTCGTTCAGAAGGATGCGCAGTCCAACTTCTTCGACAAGCTCCCGACTTGCCGCGCGCCACGCAGCGCAATCGAAATCCACGTCCTGCTTGCGAGCAACATTCAGATCGGTCCGATAGACGCGCCCTCCTGGAGTTGCGACCGCGCTCGAGCGCCTCGCCCTGGAGCTTCGCCGATGGGCCAGGGCGTTGACGCGGCTATAATCGTCAGGAAGAAGGACGTAGACACCGACGGTCCCGACGCACTTCGGCCTCGAAGGTAGTGGCTGCTTCCCCCCGGCGGTCTCCTCGGCTGTCTCCTGGGCTGTCTCATGGGCCGCGTGGTCAGCGAGGTGGACGTTGACGTGCGGGCGCTGTACTCCTGTCGCGGGTCTCCTGGTTCCTCTCGCCGGTGGAGCTTCGCCCTCTGGCGTCTCTAGAGTCGGCTCGGGCTCTTCTCGCTATTCCTCCTGTGCTCTGGCCAGAGCATGAGCAATGTGCTTCCTTTCCGCGCAGGCTTCGCAGGGCGTCTCGCGCTGCCGTAGAACGTCGTCACCGTAGATGTGGCAACTTGATGCTGCGCCAGATTGTCCACCACGGGGCTCCTCGTCCTGCGTTTTATATTATTCCTGCTCGTCGTCGTCGCCCGCGTTCGAGTCCTCGTCCTCGACCTCCTCGAAATGCCGTCACACATTTGGCCATCCTGTTACGCTGGCGCCGCCGGTGCTTATTTGTCGGCTGGATGGCCTCCTCGGCCATCGGTTGAGTCCGCGCGCCGCCCAGGTTATCGTTGGCAGGTTTTCGGATTCCCTTCGGTGCGCCCGCTGCGTCTTCCAGGTCCACCATCATGATGGCATGGCCTCTCTTGTCGTTCAAGGTGCGCTTGGTCCTGTAGCGTCGACGCCACAGCTGCCCCTTGAAATAGCGGTTCCAAGAAACCCAGGCATGGAAATTAGCTGCGCGAGTCCAGGCGTGGAACTAGAGCGCGTTGCATCTCCGAACGCGCCGCGAACTTGTAGAGGAAGGTCGGCAGCCCCCGAATATAATCCGCGGGATTCGCAGTACCTGGGTCAAACACCTTGTGATCCAGCACCTCGAATGGACGTCGAGCGCATACGAATCTGTTATCCGCCTCGACGCGCTGCTTGGTCCACGCCGCCTTGGTTTGATGCAGATCGAGGAACTGCCGCAGCTTGACCCGTTGGATTTCAGCTCTAGGCCCCCCCCCCCCGCCTCCTGAAGCTGCGCGATCCTCTGCTGACGGCGCAGCGAACCACCTTCAGCATCCTGCATCCAGGTGAGCACCTGGCCCAAACGACGACGAGGTTCTGGGTCGTTGCCATGCGGGGCGCACTGTGCGCCTTGACGCAATAGATTTTTGGTACCGAGTCGGGTGGTATCCACTCCCTGGGGGCCCCCTCAGGTAGCTCGAGGCGGTCGGCGCAATCCTCGAGGGTGAAAGCAGGAAACAAGACGCCCCCCCGCCCCCCGCATGAGGTACTTTAGACGAATGGGGCCGTCAAGCGACGCGCGAACTGCAAGCGGAAACAGCTCGGCGGTCAGCCAGCGACAACGCCGCGCAATTCAATGCGAACGGCGCACCGCTGCTATGCTCATTGGCGTTTGAACTTGGCGCTGCCTTGTGTTGGCGCGCGGTCAATGCCCGAAGTCATCGCGGATGCTCGCGCGCTCGTGCCAGGGCAGCAACCAAGGGGCGCGTCGGCCCGCGGCGGCGCCGGCAAGTGCCCGAAGAGGCGCCCGGGGCCGGCCCCGAGCGGGCGCGCCGCGAAACTTGTAGATCCACCCCGAAAACAAGATTTTGGCAACAGGCAACAACAACACCTAAAAACTCTATACTAAATCGAGCTAGATTTCTCATGAGCGGAAAGTCTCGCGCGGGAGATTCCAACGCCGTGTTTTTAACCAGAACGTGCTAAATATCTAACTTCTCCGAAACGAAAAGTTTCGCGCGGCAGGGCCCCTTTTATATAAACAGAAAACTAATTTGTGTAGGCGCCCCGAAAATTTGATATTAGAACGGTCGCCTCAAGGGGAACGCCCCCGTTCTAAACTTGTCCGCCGGCGCGGTGAAGGCGACAGAGGCGGGGGCGGGGGCCCTCGGCTGGGCCAGCGGCGCTGCCGCGCGAAGGACAGCGCCGACGTCGCCCGGACCTGCATGCCGCGGCCGTGGCACGCGCGGCCCTTCGAATGCTGGCGCGGGCGCGGCCGCGTCGACAGGCCCCAAGACGTCGCCGCTCGCGCGGGCCCCCCCTGCGGCGGGAGGCAATGGCCTCGCCGACAGGGCGCCTGCACTTGCGCGCATTCGCCATGCGTGCAAAACGCGGACATGTAAAATCCATAGCTGTGAGGGATGGGGTCGGTTCCCCACTTCTCGGCATCGGATGACGGGAGCCCCTTGTCGGCGCCGCCCCTGGCCATGTGGTTCGCGATATCGCTATCGGCGCCGTCGCGTGCGATGATGCGTCGGCCTCTGGATTCGAAGCGTTCCGAGGAGTGCGGATTGTGCGCGTCGGCGGCCCTGCGCTGCTCGTCGCGCAGCCCCTCGTCGACCTCCGCAGTTCCCGCGCCGCCCGCGCCCGCGGGATCTTGAAAGCCCGAGTCGTGGTGAGTCTCCTCCGGGGTCCTCTGGAGGAGTTCTCGGCTGCTCTCGCGCACCTCGCCTGCTCCTCGTTCTTCCTGAAGGTCGCGATGGAGAGACGTGCAGGGGCGATCTTCAGAAGGCGCCGCTGGCGCCGAGCTGCGGGGGGCAACCCGGGGGCCGTCGGCCAGTGCGGCCGCTGAACCACCCGAGCCGCCGCCCACCCTTCATCGTGGTCGCCGCAGTCGTAGAGAATGTCGACCATGATGTCGCCGTCGAAGTCGGCTGGGTCACCCCGCTCTCCTCTGGACACGGGTTGGTCGTCGAGCAGATGTGCCGGGGGCCCAAGCGCTGGGCCCGCGGGCGACATGGCCCTGCAGGTAGGAGACACCCCAGCCGCAAAGACAAACTCGCAAGCTGTAAACAGCGGCACATCGCGACGACAGCATGCTGGCTCATCCAACGCACGAGGGACATGCATATACTCGCACACCGAAAGAGGTGAGTCTGCAATAGGTTGGGTCGAAGCGATGACACGCTTCGGAGACACACGAAAGGG